ACAGATCTCAGGCAGCGTCTGGTCAGTCTAACATTAACGGAAAAATGGGGAAGGAGTGTAAAATAGAAAAAAATTGGTTACTACTGGCCTCTCAGGAACGAGGATTATATTAAATTTCAACAAGAGCAGTTAGTGGATTTTGAAAGGTCTGAATATTCATTATGTACCAAGAGTCATACTGAATGATTTTATATTTTCCATATCATTTAATCCTCTTCACATCTACCCTAAAAAGCAGGTGTTATTACAGCAACTGTTTACAGATGAGGAAACTGAGGCTTTAAAAAGCTAATCAGTTTGGGTCTCCCCTGGTAGCGCAGTGGTTGAGCGCTGGGCTGCGAGACTGGAGGGTCCCACCAAAAAAAAAAAAAAAAAAAACCTAATCAGTTTGTTCAAGTTAACACAAGGAGGAAGAGGCTGAGTTTTGCTAAGACAGTGGCAGAGTCTGGGGTCTTAACTATTTTTATATTGACTCTCCTTGCTTTGACTTTGTATGGCTACAGCAATATTCCTCTTACTTTAAAATTAATACATGATTCATTTAAAATCTTTTCATATATTTTACAATATTTTTAAAAGTATGTAATGTCATTGTTCTCGTTTTCTCTCCACATCATTGTAAACTTTCAAATTATGTTTCAAAAATGTTGGTTCATTGTCCTAAGTTTTACTGAAGAAAAGTGAAATGTAAACATAGGCCACATTTTTAGAAACTGAAATTCATATCATGAAAAAAATAAAAGTGACATTCAAACAAAATGAAATGCATTTGATTTCAAATAAAACAAAACAGTTTTGTTTTATATTTCTTTAGTTATATTCTTTAGCTCTTTAGTTATATATTTCTTTAGTTCATGCTTATATCATTTTGTTTTTTTGTTTTTTGTTTTTTTTTTTTTTTTTTTAAATATTAAATTTATTTTTATATTCCCCATACAATTGCAAACGCCCCATTCTGACCCCAATCCTTCCCCCCCCCCCCCACCCCCAAAAGTGTCTCTGGTTCATAGTTTTTTTGTTGATTTTGATTTTCACTTTCTTATATTCATTTTCCTGGTCCCTTATTTAAGTTTTCTAGATTCCTGCTATGAGTGAGACCATCCGGTATTTTCTTTTTCTTTTTGGCTTATTTCGCTGAGCATGATCCCTTCAGTGCCATCCATGTTGCTGCAAATTGCATGTGTTTATCTTTTTGAATGCTGAGTAATATTCCATGGTATATATGTACCACATCTTCTTGATCCAGTCATCTATTTTTGGCATTGGGTTGTTCCAAAGCTTACATGCTTATATCATTTTGAATAAAAAATTCACTTTTATATGAAATTTAAAATAATTTCTAAAATGTGTGAACCAAGGTGTATAATACAGAAAATGTTAACCAAAAAGATAAAAGTAGGGCCTCCCTGGTGGCACAAGGGGTTAAGACACAACCTATGAAGCTGTCTACAGCCACTTCAGCTCAAGTTTGATCCCCGGCCAGGGAACTACGCACATGGCACAGCAGACCTCTCCTGTCTCCCCACTGCTCCCCTCAGCAGTGTATTTCAGTCAGTCTTCCTATTCTGTACCCCACTCTGTCTCTGGTGAATCCTCTCACCCACACACACATACCTCTGGCCTATACCCCAGTTCTTGTATGCATAAATAAATAAATCTTTTTTAAAAAGATAAAAACAAACAAACATAGTGGGAAAACTTTCATAGTTGCATTTACAGCATTAACTTACATTAAGTGTAATTCCTGACTTAGCAGCACTTCTAATATGGATTCCTGGGGCCTTATGTGACCCAAAGCTTAAATTGAATCAGTGTTTTTCATCTACTAACTTACATTATTTTAAATGTATATAGATCATAGATGTCCACACTTCTTTATCCTGAGCTTAGGAGGAACTTTGTCTTCTTTTGAGCTCACTAATCTCAGGTCTTTGATAAACCATGAGTGTGCCTGGGTAGAAACTAAAAATATAATTAAAGATCTCACAATGTGAAGAATGGCTGACAATTGTCTAGGTACTTATTCCAGGAACTTGAATCTAACAATATATTTCATAAGAGAGCCTAATACTCAAAGAGACTCAAAGACATATAAACATTTTAATTACCCAAATTAAACAATGTTGTCTAATGATATCCTTTTTGGTAATTAACTATTAAAACACAAGGAGGTGGTTACCATAATTCAGGAGAGTGGATACATTGGGGGACAGGGAAGGGTCATAATTAGGATGAGGCACTAAGTTAAGCTCCTGAGATGGAGGGCAATGTTGTAATTCTTGACCTTGGCTTAATTACAAAATACACTCCTTAAATCACCCAGCCTTATTTTTATTTTTAGTCTGTGTGCATGTTTTATTTTATAATCAAACTTTTTTTAAGAAACTCTTTATTATTGTGTTATCTCCAGGTAAAGAAAAAGAGCCAATCCCTGTTGTTACAATGAAGCACATTTGAGTTCATCGAACCAGGTAAGGGAGAGGCATAGATTAAATAGAACAGACTTCTTGTGTGCAACTGACTTCCCTGTTACTAAAATGATGAGAAAGGAAACTGTGTGGACATTCTCTGAAAGGACCTTTTATGCAGGACAGACACTGGAGTCACAGCTTCTAAGGTCCATTTCCACTTTAAACTTCCATGGCCTTCATTCCCACTATCTCAACCTTAAGTTGTCCCCCAAAAAAGTCAAGTGCACTTTATAATCAAAGTGTTTGGGAAGTCAAGTCCCGACCTGTCTCTGAGGTGCATCAATTCAGTATGTTCAGTGTATTTGTGGGCATTTTATGAACCTAACTATGTTCATTTTAAAGTTATGCCCAAAAAAATCAGCGTTCAAATTATTTCTAGACCATCATGGTAAAAACATCAGAGTGAAATATGAAGCCTTCAAGAATAGCAAGAATAGATAGAATAATATTATAAGTGAATAAGTGAATATAGATTTTAATTTTTAGAAATTTGAGCCAAGTATAGTTCAAGTGTTTTCACAATATTAGCCCTCACACCTCCATTTGAAGAAATGGAGGTATCTTCACTTTACAGATGAAGAACATGGTACACAAACAGATTAAATGATTGAATACCCAAGGACATGGTCCATCCAGACGAGAAGTTGGGTTTTCATCTGAAGCATCTGAGTCCTATGCACTAAGCACTAGGTTTAACTTAGCTGATCTCCTGCTACTTAAAAACTGGACATTCATTAATTAAATGAAAATTTCATTTTATAAAGACATCTCTGTCTTGATTACTTGTTTATAACAGTTCCTTCTTCATGACTATAACAGTATAAAGTGCTAACTAAAAGTCTTACAACAGTGACATGCTGTAGGTCATTTAACTTTACTTATTTTACTGTGACTGCAGCAAATATAAAGTAATCTACATGTGAAGTTCGTAGTCAGAAATCATATGGATAAAAAAATGTATAAATTAATCATTTATTAAACATTCATCCATTTGAACATATGATACAGGATCATAAGTAGTGAGCTGGATGTCATCGTTACCCCTTATCCATATTCTTTATTTTTTTCATGTTATTACTTTACAGCTTTTGAAGATTTATTTATTTATGCATACGAGAACAGGGGTACAAGCCAGAGGTAAGAGGAGTGAGAGGATTCACCAGAGACAGAGGGGAACAGAACAGGCAGATTGACTGAAATACACTGCTGAGGGGAGCAGTGGGTGAGTCAGGCCAGGTCTGCTGCGTCATGTGGGTAGCTCCCTGGCTAGGGATCGAACTCGTGCTGCAGTGGCTGCAATTAGCTTCATAGGTTGCATCTTAACCCCTTGCGCCTGGAGATTAACTACCAGAGGATCGACTCTTATATTAGTAATCCCCACCAGGAAAAACAGCTCACTGATTATTTAATAAGCTACTCTTTAGACTCACCTGTCTTGCTAGTTTTGCTGAATGGCCACGTGAGTAAGAACAACAGAGGGTTTCTATGTGGGTGCAGTGACCTACTACATCTGGAATTAGTTCAATTTTTAATTTACAACTAATCAATAAGGCAATTAGATGGTTAATGGTAATGATGATGTTCAAAGAAACATGACCTCTGGTCATGTAAATAAAGGTCAATAATAAAAGATTATTTATTGGGCCACTCTGGTGGTGTAGGGGTTAAAATATCAGTGCTATTAATCTATCACCAGTCAATGCAGCACGAGTTCAATCCCAGGCCAGGAGCTACCCACATGGTGTAGCAGACTTCTCCTGTCTCACCTGCTGCTCTCCTCAGCAGTGTATTTCAGTCAATCTGCCTGTTCTGCTCCCCACTCTGTCTCTGGTGAATCCTCTTACCCCCCCACACCTCTGGCCTACCCCCCAGTATTTGCACCCCAGTACTTTAAAAAAAAAAAGGTTATTTATTGTGATACCAAAAATATATGCATACAATGAGGGCACTGTAGTAGGGAGCATAAAAACTGTTTTGTGAATAAAGGGTGTGGCATGTTGAATAGGAAGAAAAATAGGAAAAGAAACCTGTGGTCATGATAATTACACTTATGGTTATAATGTTGGAATTAGATGATTGGGAGAACATAAGGTGGAATTTTCATATGAAATGAAATACTTTATTTTTCTCCTAGCTCAACTCCTTTGATAAGGGGAAGATTTGTCATAATCAAATGAAGGTTATATCATAGTTTCAAGAATGAAAAATTCCTCAAAATATACCCACCCTTAAATTTATATAATTGAATGTAAGTATTTATTATTTAATCAAAATAACTGGAACCATGGGCGACATAGCATATGATGCCCTTTCACCCACTATTTTAGAAACTTTTCTAAATACACTTAAACGTGGAGAGGCTTTGGGCACAAAACACAGGGGAAAATGTTAAAATTGATGTTCCAAATGGGAGAAAGCACACCAGCAAGGTTTGGATATCCAGAAAAAACTTAAAAAGTTTAGATCTACAGAAGATTGATAATATTTTTTATTCCTATGCTATTGTTTTCTAGTCTTTCCTAAGAAGGAATGGAAACAAGCAATGAAAGTTATGGAAAAGACTTCATCCTTCTGGGGTTTTCTGATCAACCTCAGTTAGAACAGGTCATCTCTGGGGTGGTTTTCATCTCCTACCTAGTGACTCTGGTAGGAAACACCACCATCATTCTTCTGTCTTACCTGGATCCCCAACTCCATACGCCCATGTATTTCTTCCTATCCAATTTGTCTTTTTTGGATCTCTGTTATACAACTAGCATCGTCCCCCAGATGTTAGTAAATCTTTGGGGTCCAAAGAAATCAATTACATATGGAGGGTGTGTGCTCCAGTTCTTCTTTGCCCTTGACTTGGGAGCCACAGAATGTCTCCTCTTGGCTGTGATGGCCTATGACCGCTATGCCGCCTTGTGTCAGCCTCTTCACTACACAGTGATCATGCACCCTCAGCTCTGCCAGAAGATGGTGGTGGTTTCCTGGTTAGGTGGTCTTGGAAGTGCCTTAATTCTTTGCTCTTTGACTTTGAAGTTGCCAAGATGTGGCAACCGAGAGGTGGATAATTTTTTCTGTAAGATGCCAGCACTGGTCAAGATGGCTTGTGTTTATTCAAAAGTAATTGACATTGTTGTCACGACTCTTGGAGTGATATTTCTTCTCTTGCCTCTATCACTTATTCTTATTTCCTATGGAGTTATCACTTGTGCTGTGACGAGGATCAAGTCAACATCAAGGTGGAGTAAGATCCTCAACACATGTGGCTCCCACCTCACAGTGGTGGCTCTGTTTTATGGAACACTCATTTATATGTACATGAAACCACAGAATAGCACATCCCAAGATGAGGGGAAGTTCATTACTCTCTTTTACACGATCATTACACCCAGCCTTAATCCTCTGATCTACACTTTAAGAAACAAAGATGTAAAGAATTCAGTAAAGAAAATATTGTGTAGTCCAAAATAGTCAGCAAAATCATGAACTCAGTGGGAAAACTCAGAGTGTAGAGAGCTGAAGAATAATATGAACCTTGACCATGACGATGATAGAATTCATTTTCTCAAAGGGCATTTCTTGGTTGGTTTTCATGTACCAGGAATTGTACTAGGTATGGACTTTGTAAGTAGGAAGTGGAGAGAAATGTTAAGGTGATAGATAAATTGAGATCTAAATCCAAATATAAAATATAATTTTTATGCCTGAAAAGTTTTAGAACCCCTCAGGGACATAGATATACAAATACATAATTATGATATATGATAAGTATAATAATAATTTGTAAAACGTGTTTTGGAAAGATTTCACTTGGGCATTTATTCTAATGCAGGAATATAATGGACACTGGAATTTTTCCCCAGATTTACCACTCTTATGAGAAGTAATGCTCCCTTCCTTACATCTGATAGTGCAAAGGAACCTTTGCGGTACAGACTCACTGCTGACCCACATCTTTTGCCTAGGGCATAGATATCCTAGCCTCGCCTCCATCCACACACTCCAGGGAAATAGTGAGTGCCTTTTGTGGGTCGTTTCTCAAATATGAAGCCACTGGCTCTCACCTTCTGCCCTCCCCCTTTCTGTTGATTGAAATACGAATGTGGGTTCTTCCTGGTGGCACAGAGGTTAAGTCTCAGCACTGTGAAGCGATCCACAGCCACTGCAGCACAAGTTGAATTCCCAACCAGGGAGCTACCCACATGGCACAGCAGACTGCTCCTGACTCCCCACTACACCCCTTAGCAGTGTATTACAGTCAGCCCACCTGTTCTGCTCCCTACTCTGTCCCTGGTGAATTGTCTCACCCCACACACCTCTGGCCTACACCCCACCTCTTGTATGCATAAAAAAATAAAATAAAATAAATCTTAAAAAGAAAAGATAAGGGCTATACTTCTGGGCATCAAACTATGGTCTGTGGTAAAGGGATATGAGTGCTCTGGGGATGGGAGAGATACATCTGAGGAGGTGTAAACCTAGTCCCTTAACTCATATACAGTGTTGTAAACCAATGTTACCTCAATAATAATTTTTAAAAATTAAAAATGTGTTTGGGGACTCCATTCCAATAGCAAGGGAACAAAGCAAAAATAAACACTTGGGACCACGTCAAACTAAAAAGTTTTTATACCAGGAAAGAAACTATCACAAAATGAAAAAAGTAGACTGAGAGGGGACCTAAATGGACACTTCTCCAAAGAGGACATTCAAGTGTTCTACAAGCATGTGATAAATGCTCATCATCATTTATTACAAGGGAAATACAGGTCAAAATCAAAATCAAAACTGGCCTATACCCCAGTTCTTGTATGCATAAATAAATAAATATTTTTAAAAATTACAATGAGGTATTGCTTCACCCCTGTGAGAATGGCCTATGTCAAAAAGACTGAAAACAACAAATGTTGTCAAGGATGTAGAGAAAAAGGAACTTCATCCACTGTTAGTGGGAATTTAGTGCAGCCTCTATAGAAAATGGTATGGAGATTCCTCAAATAACTAAAAATGGGAATAACATATGGTCCAGGCAATACCACTGCTGGGTATTTACCCAAAGAATATAAAAGCATTTATACAAAAAAGATGTATGCTCTCCTGAATTCATAGTAGCAGTAATCACAACAGCACCATCAAGGGACCAACTAAAATGTCCACAACAGACAACTGAATTACAAAATTGTGGTATATACACTCAGTGGAATGTTACTCAGCTACTTAAACAGATGAAATAGTGCCTTTTGGAACACAATAGTGCCTTTTGGAACACAATCTTGATGTTACAGGACAGGGAGAGGGAACCCAGAACCCCCAAACCTGCCTGCTCTAAATAGGTTCCGCCATCAGCCACATCAAGACAAAACATATAAGCTCCTTCATGGAAAGAAACTTTAAAATAATTACTGTGCAATACAGAAAAGGAGAAGAATATAGTTTCCAAATCAAGCACCCAAAGTTACCCATCCCCTCATGGGTAAATGTCCACCCAAAAAAATAAAAATAAATATCCACCCAAACGGGATTGGCCCAGAGCAAGGCCAGAAAGCTGCCACAAGTTTAAAGCACCTTCTGGCAGGTACCCATAGAAAAGGGTCAGAAACAACCAGAAAATTCTAGGAGGAAAAATTCAAAATCAAAATCAAGATGCAAGCTGCCAGGCCTCTCTGGTGGTGCAGCGGGTTGAGTGTAGGGCTGAGAAACTTTCAATTCCCAGGTGGCCAGGGAGCTACCCACATGGCGTGGCAGACCTCTCCTGTCTCACCCACTGCTCCTCTCAGCAGTGTATTTCTGCCTGTTCTGTTCCCCGCTCTGTCTCTGGTGAATCCTCTCACCCCCCTACCCCCCACCCCTGCATCTCTGGCCTGTAGCCCAGTTCTTGTATAAATAAAAATAAAAGTAAAAAAAAAAAAAAAAAAGATTTATTTTAAAAAAAAAATACAAGCTGCCATTGTTAACCCCCCCACGGGTCTCTCACCCACATCTGTTTTACCCAGTCCAGGACCAAGAAGCAAGTGCAGCTTCTTCACATGTCTCTGCTCCCTGTGCCTCCTCCAGGTCTCTTCATTGCTCCCCATCCTTCCTCCCTCTTTCCCAGCTTATTCTCCCTGCTGAGCTCCACCCTCCCTTCATATATATATATATGAAGGGTGAAGTTGTAATCCCAAAATTATAGAATTGTGTAGAAATTAACAAATTAATAAAAACTTGAGAAAAATTAATTTAAAAAATTGATCTAGGGCTTCCCTGGTGGCCAGGGGTTAAGGAAAGCTCTGTCAATCTACTGCCAGCCAGTACAATACTGAGTTCCATCCCTGGCCAGGGGGCAACCCACATGGGGCAACAGACCTCTCCTGACTCCCTGCTGCTCCCCTCAGCAGTTTATTTCAGTACATCTGCCTGTTCTGCTCCCCAATCGCTCTGGTGGGTTCTCTCACCTTCTGCACCTCTGGCTTGCACCCCAGTTCTTGTATGCATAAATAAATAAATCTTTTCAAAAATTAAGTCTAAAAATAAGACAAATTAGAATGTTTCTGTTTTAGGATACAGTAGCAGCAGCAAAAGAAACGCTGTCAAAGAATCACATAACTATCAAGTGTTTTTATCGGACTTAAAATGCACATTTACAGTAGTCACATAAAAACAGTGCGTCACATGTTACCCTCCTATGAGTCATTCAAATAGTAAGAGAGCCGTTTTAGTCCTTGTTATTCTTACTGATAAGAAATGTTCCATGAACTTGGAGGAACAGCATGGTACGTTGCTTTCCTTATTGTCATTAATTTCCAACTTAATCATCATCCCTAGTTGCAGTATTAACAGAGAGTACAGTGTTTCCATTTGGGGACCCCAATGACCCTGAAGGATTCCTAAATTTCAAATTAGAAAGCCAGGCCACTGAGTTTGCACGCCCAGCGGGGAAGGACCCGGCCTGGGTTCTCCGCTGCCATTCCGGCTGCTGCCACCAGGTGGCGGTGCTGAAAACGGGCCGTTCTCTGCATCAGCCTGACCAAGCACAGTGATGCCCGCTAAATAGTCCAGATTTCTGATCACCCCCGGTGCGCCTTCTAAGGAGGTAACCCCCACCCCACCTGCCACCTCTCCACTTTTTCAGGGCACATGCTTCCCTCCGTTAAGGGTCTCCAGCGGCAGATAGTCATTTTCACGTCTTCCAATCTAAAAAGCGCCCGTTTCCATCAGCAAGCCTGCACCCCAGTAACTGTACTGTACCCCTGATCAGTGGTCTCTTGCTCCTTGGGGAATCCGGGATCCCTGGTGTGGAGCAGTTTTTCCTTCTCAAGCAATCCTCTGACCAGGAAAGGGAGTGGGGTGTGACTGTCCCCCTCCTCCGCGGGAGGGCGCTCCCTATCCGCGCGCTCTGGCGCCCGCGGGAAGTGCCGCTGTCTTAACGGGCTTGGAGTCCCTTTCACTTGTCATAGCGACCAAAATAACTTTCCAGCACCTTTCTGTGAGAGTGGGAGTACGAAGGGGTAGAGGGGACCTACATTTACTCTCCCGGAGGGCATCCCACTACTTGTGACGTGTGTGCGTAAGGCACCAGGAGGCCCCAATAATCTTCTAGAAGTGGGGTTGGGTGCCCAGAACGTCCGTAGCTGGGCCGGTCTTTCCCTGTGACCCTGAGGATCCAGGCAGGAGGCCAGGTTCTAGCCCTAGAAGTCCTATTTGTCCTCACTGCCCCAGAGTCATAAGCTGGAATCTTGCCTTTTCTGATGCCTAACAGGCCCGTGGGGTGCCTGTTACAGCGAGAGTGCAACCCTGGGTAAGGAGGGGCCTGACCCCTCAAGGACAACCCCATCATCCCAGAGCTGCTGGCTGATAAGCCCAACTGAGGCTGAAGGGTTAGCGCTAGGAAATCCCTCCAGGCCCCAGGTAAAGCAAGTCTCAGCGAGCAGTCTAACAGGGGCTTTTTGTCTTCTATGCCCTCTGAGTTGCTGGGAGTGATGGAGGTTAAGAGTAGAAAGGTTGGAAAGGAGGAACCACTAGACCAGAAATCTGGCTCCTGCAGTATGGAGAGCTTTATCCCTGGCCTAGAGGGATTTCTTAGCACTAACCCTTCAGGCTCAGTTGGGCTTATCAGCCAGCTGCTCTGGGATGATGGGGATGTCCCCAAGGGGTCAGGCCCCTCCCTTCCCAGGGTTGCTGGAGGTGGGGGGGAGAAGTGATTAGCATAGCTGTGGAACCAGCTATAAGAAGTGAAAAATCCTTAGGCACAAACTGCAATAGCAAGTATCAGAGCAGGCCAGAGGTGGGGATATGCAGATGAGGGCCATTATAGTGCTCATCACACTCCAGCTGTTATGAGGTTAACAAAAGTTAAAACTACACAAAGGAGCAAGACCCTCCCAAAGAGAAGACAATATCAGTGCAGTCTCTGCCCTCGCATGCGGCAGCAGTTCTTCTGCCCCACTGTGACAATGCAGGTGTTTCTCTTCACCTACCTTTTCCTTTTGCAG